TATTGTATGGTAACCACCGACTGTAGGTATGAACAAATACTGTATATAGACTGTGTATAGGAGTACTGTATTGTATGGTAACTACCGACGGTAGGTATAGACACATACTGTATATAGACTGTGTATAGGAGTACTGTATTGTATGGTAACCACCGACGGTAGGTATGAACAAATACTGTATATAGACTTTTTATAGGAGTACTGTATTGTATGGTAACCAACGACGGTAGGTATGGACAAATACTGTATATAGACTGTGTATAGGAGTACTGTATTGTATGGTAACCACCGACTGTAGGTATGAACAAATACTGTATATAGACTGTGTATAGGAGTACTGTATTGTATGGTAACCACCGACGGGAGGTATAGACAAATACTGTATATAGACTGTGTATAGGAGTACTGTATTGTATTTTAACTACCGTCGGTAGGTATGGACAAATACTGTATATAGACTGTGTATAGTAGTACTGTATTGTATGGTAACCACCGACGGTAGGTATGAACAAATACTGTAAATAGACTGTGTATAGGAGTACTGAATTGTATGGTAACTACCGACGATAGGTATAGACAAATACTGTATATATAGACTGTGTATAGGAGTACTGTATTGTATGGTAACCACCGACGGTAGGTATGAACAAATACTGTAAATAGACTGTGTATAGGAGTACTGAATTGTATGGTAACTACCGACGGTAGGTATGAACAAATACTGTATATAGACTGTGTATAGGAGTACTGTATTGTATGGTAACCACCGACGGTAGGTATGGACAAATACTGTATATAGACTGTGTGTAGGAGTACTGTATTGTATGGTAACCACCGACGGTAGGTATAGACACATACTGTATATAGACTGTGTATAGGAGTACTATATTGTATGTTAACTACCGTCGGTAGGTATGGACGAATACTGTATATAGACTGTGTATAGGAGTACTGTATTGTATGGTAACCACCGACAGTAGGTGTGTACAAATACTGTATATAGACTGTGTATAGGAGTGCTGTATTGTATGGTAACCAACGATGGTAGGTATGGACAAATACTGTATATAGACTGTGTATAGGAGTACTGTATTGTATGGTAACCACCGACTGTAGGTATGGACAAATACTGTATATATAGACTGTGTAAAGGAGTACTGTATTGTATGGTAACCACCGACTGTAGGTATGGACAAATACTGTTGATAGACTGTGTATAGGAGTACTGTATTGTATGGTAACCACCGACGGTAGGTATAGACAAATACTGTTGATAGACTGTGTATAGGAGTACTGTATTGTATGGTAACCACCGACTGTAGGTATGAACAAATACTGTATATAGACTGTGTATAGGAGTACTGTATTGTATGGTAACTACCGACGGTAGGTATAGACAAATACTGTATAACGACTGTGTATAGGAGTACTGTATTGTATGGTAACCACCGACGGTAGGTATGAACAAATACTGTATATAGACTGTGTATAGGAGTACTGTATTGTATGGTAACCAACGACGGTAGGTATGGACAAATACTGTATATATAATAGACTGTGTATAGGAGTACTGTATTGTATGGTAACCACCGACTGTAGGTATGAACAAATACTGTATATAGACTGTGTATAGGAGTACTGTATTGTATGGTAACTACCGACGGTAGGTATAGACACATACTGTATATAGACTGTGTATAGGAGTACTGTATTGTATGGTAACCACCGACGGTAGGTATGAACAAATACTGTATATAGACTTTTTATAGGAGTACTGTATTGTATGGTAACCAACGACGGTAGGTATGGACAAATACTGTATATAGACTGTGTATAGGAGTACTGTATTGTATGGTAACCACCGACTGTAGGTATGAACAAATACTGTATATAGACTGTGTATAGGAGTACTGTATTGTATGGTAACCACCGACGGGAGGTATAGACAAATACTGTATATAGACTGTGTATAGGAGTACTGTATTGTATTTTAACTACCGTCGGTAGGTATGGACAAATACTGTATATAGACTGTGTATAGTAGTACTGTATTGTATGGTAACCACCGACGGTAGGTATGAACAAATACTGTAAATAGACTGTGTATAGGAGTACTGAATTGTATGGTAACTACCGACGATAGGTATAGACAAATACTGTATATATAGACTGTGTATAGGAGTACTGTATTGTATGGTAACCACCGACGGTAGGTATGAACAAATACTGTAAATAGACTGTGTATAGGAGTACTGAATTGTATGGTAACTACCGACGGTAGGTATGAACAAATACTGTATATAGACTGTGTATAGGAGTACTGTATTGTATGGTAACCACCGACGGTAGGTATGGACAAATACTGTATATAGACTGTGTGTAGGAGTACTGTATTGTATGGTAACCACCGACGGTAGGTATAGACACATACTGTATATAGACTGTGTATAGGAGTACTATATTGTATGTTAACTACCGTCGGTAGGTATGGACGAATACTGTATATAGACTGTGTATAGGAGTACTGTATTGTATGGTAACCACCGACAGTAGGTGTGTACAAATACTGTATATAGACTGTGTATAGGAGTGCTGTATTGTATGGTAACCAACGATGGTAGGTATGGACAAATACTGTATATAGACTGTGTATAGGAGTACTGTATTGTATGGTAACCACCGACTGTAGGTATGGACAAATACTGTATATATAGACTGTGTAAAGGAGTACTGTATTGTATGGTAACCACCGACTGTAGGTATGGACAAATACTGTTGATAGACTGTGTATAGGAGTACTGTATTGTATGGTAACCACCGACGGTAGGTATAGACAAATACTGTTGATAGACTGTGTATAGGAGTACTGTATTGTATGGTAACCACCGACTGTAGGTATGAACAAATACTGTATATAGACTGTGTATAGGAGTACTGTATTGTATGGTAACTACCGACGGTAGGTATAGACAAATACTGTATAACGACTGTGTATAGGAGTACTGTATTGTATGGTAACCACCGACGGTAGGTATGAACAAATACTGTATATAGACTGTGTATAGGAGTACTGTATTGTATGGTAACCAACGACGGTAGGTATGGACAAATACTGTATATATAATAGACTGTGTATAGGAGTACTGTATTGTATGGTAACCACCGACTGTAGGTATGAACAAATACTGTATATAGACTGTGTATAGGAGTACTGTATTGTATGGTAACCACCGACGGGAGGTATAGACAAATACTGTATATAGACTGTGTATAGGAGTACTGTATTGTATGGTAACCACCGACTGTAGGTATGAACAAATACTGTATATAGACTGTGTATAGGAGTGCTGTATTGTATGGTAACCACCGACTGTAGGTATGAACACATACTGTATATAGACTTTGTGTAGGAGTACTGTTTTGCATGGTAAATACCGACGGTAGGTATAGACAAATACTGTTGATAGACTGTGTATAGGAGTACTGTATTGTATGTTAACCACGGGAGGTATGGACAAATACTGTATATATAATGTGTATAGGAGTACTGTATTGTATGTTAACCACCGACGGTAGGTATGGACAAAAACTGTATATAGACTTTGTAAAGGAGTCTTGTATTTTATGGGAACCACCGACGGTAGGTATAGACAAATACTGTATTTAGACTTTGTATAGGTGTACTGTATTGTATGGTAACCACCGACGGTAGGTATAGACAAATACTGTGTATAGAATTTATTTATTTAAATGAAAAGTGTTGCACATAAATTGTATTTCTGCATTGAAATTTTATGTAATCTTTTCCCTTCAAATGGTGGAATGGTCCTATTTGTCCTTAAATGGCAAATAAAACTTACTGTTCTTTGCTTTTATGTTTGATATATTTTTGAATATTCTTCACGTGGAGATCTGATCTTGTCTATTAAATTTTGTCATTTTCCTTATTACATGTATGTTAATTGCAGCAACTGAATTGGACTTATTTATTAAAAGTGATAATATTTCTGTTGTAGGTAATCAGGATTTAGTGTTTCCATACAAGTGTCAAAGATTGAACGACAAAAACATCTAAAACTTTACAGGACAGAGTAGACTTTTTCACTGTGCTTAGTTTTGTCTTTATGTCTAAATAATGATACCTTTTAAAAAACTAATAAAATATGGAATAAAAAAGATTGTTATCTTATAAAATGGAGTGAAGAAATAAGGGGTGATTGAAAACATAAGAATATTGTTATGCCGGCTCCCCGTATTTATTCAGTGTTGTTTTGATATGCATTTTTTTCGTCGTTGTTATGATCCATAACCAGAAGTTGGTTGTCAAAAGTGTTTGATAAGTCAGGAGATGCTTATGCTTGTACTTATAAAACTATTATCTCGGATGACTTTTAAACCTGTGGAGTATTGTTTTTGAGACATGTAACGTTTATTTTCGAACTGTTGGAAAGTGAAAGTAGGCCATAGATTTTTATTTACGGTTGTAAATAATAATAATATTGTGATTCATGTTGTTCTATTTTTTACATCTTATTATTTTTCCTGTTTGGGTTTCGTTTGATTATGATTGCTAATTGCACGGAGCATTTGGAGACTTTAAATAACTCTCGTTCCGATTTTTAAGGTTTGTCACCGATATAGGTGATACTTACTTGTTTGATGTGTTTTAGTTTAAATGTTCGTTATCTGTTCACTATCGATTGCAAGATACAGTAGTTTGTATCTGTTTTTACCCATCACAAACGTTTTCAAAGCTTTTAGTTGCATTTTAAACACATAAATTATATTTATTCGTGAAGAACATTGCATTGTTTACAATTGCATCACCGTTAAGGGAATTTCCCTAATAAGAGTGATGGCTTGTGATTGGATGTCATTATATAAGCGCAACTCTCATTGGTCAATTTGGAATATAAATACGTGTGGTTGGCTGCATCAAGGGAGATAGCTCGCATTAGTTGAGATAGTAAAATCAAAGAGATAGAGCACTGGAAGTAGAAACTAAATAGAATTATGTCTGATGTTATGAGTATAAAAGTTAGTATTGTGAAATAATAATATTATTTTAATAAGTAAAAGGTGACGGTGACTAATATAAGTCCCGGTGATTAAATCTCGGTGACGGTGACTAATCTCGGTGACGGTGACGGTGACTAAAAACTGTCGGTGACGGTGACTATAACTGTCGGTGACGGTGACTAAATAATTTTGTCACCAGATTTGGAGTTGATGAATTCACGTGTGTAAGTTACTGTTGATATAGCTATAGTTATTGAGGTAGTGACATAAATAGTTTATGGAGAAGCATATGTATGTTTTATGAACAGTTTGGCAAAGGTCAGGCTTTTTATCTTGTTTGGTTAAAATTAGTTATGGATATGATAGTTACCTTTGTATAAAGGACTAGTTGTAAAGAAATGCTATGTTATGATTATAATTCACATTCGTGTTAATTGTTGTTAGACCAACCATACCAGGGGCCACTGACCAGTGACAGAACCGAGAGTCCAGCCTTCCCCCAGTATTTTATTTCGTTAATAAAATGTTGAACTTTATAAATTATTATCTTTTACTTTAATAAACCTCACGAAAACCGAATTATACTAGCACACTGATATAAATATATATATTTATATATTTTTCCTTCGTCCTATTTCGGGTTTAGATCGGTGGTTTTAATTAAGACACCTTTCTCGACCTCTAATAGATCCCTTTTTACGTGATCCTGTGATCTCTGGTGGCCGACTCTAACGTCAGAGAGGCAGCGTTACAATTGGTGGCAGCGGTGGGATACCACTTTCAATATATTAGAGTCTATTGTTTGTATATAAAAATTTAAAGTTGTTGTAAAAATAGATATGGACGATTCAAATGTAGTTATGTTCGGTCCCAATACTGGGAATAGAGACGAGGTAGATGAAACACTATCGAATGAAGTAATAGCTTCTAGTAGTGAAAAGAATCTAACCGCAGAGAGAATGGTTTCTGACGCTAAAGTGGAAATGAAATTTATGGTAGACAAATGTTTTTCAGATTTTTCTGAGAGAATGGACAGTATGTTGGCAAAATTTGACCATCATATAACAAATAAAATCACCCCTATTTTAGGAAGGGGGTATGATAGTTCGTCTATAAGTGCGAGTGGGGAAGCCAAACAAAGTAAACAAGACTTAAATAATAGCCATTTCACTGAGAACATCAGAGCTAAACCTGACATAAAATGTAAAATTAAACCTCAGCTGTATGACGGGTCAGACGATCTAGAAGAGTATCTCACACAATTTTATCTTCTGGCAGAACTTAACGATTGGGACTTAAGATCTAAAGCTTTATTGTTGGCAAGTAGCTTAACAGGCAGTGCTCGTGCTCTTTTAAATGAAATGACAGAGGGTGAAAGGCATGACTTTGAATGTTTAGTAACAATGCTTAAAAGCAGATTTGGTTCCATAAATCGGTCAGAAGTTTTCAGAGCTGAGCTACAGACTAGGGTTCGGTTAAGGAACGAAAGTTTGCCTGAACTGGCCCAGGCAATTAAAAAACTTACAAGGCGAGCATATCCTGGTACTTCCCCTATTGTCAGAGATACACTGGCGCTTGATTATTTTATTGATGCTATAACTGAAACTGACATTCGTCTAAGGTTGAGAGAAGTAGGGCCAAAAACAATTTATGAAGCCGAAAATATTGCTGTTCGTCTTGAAGCTTTAAGACTGGCAGACAGACAAAAAGGGCGATCGGTGAGAACAGCTGATGCATGTGACGCTGATGATAGTAAAATAGTCAGTGAAATAAAAGAAATAAAATTAGGCATAAGAAATCTACAAAATGATGTAGGGGCCATTAAGAAAAATAATAATAATGGTCAACGTTATAACCATAATAACAACAATGGTTCACGTCAACAAAGAGGATCAAATAATTTTGGTAATAGAAATTTCAACCAAAATTATAACAGCTCGGAAAACTACCAAGCGTCGAGTGCGGGGGTCGCGGCTCGACCACAATAAAAAGACCCAACACGGTTATTTCAAATGTTTCTTGGGGGAAAGATAATGGATATTTTGTAGTTGCTAATATAAATTCTATGTCTGTAAATATGTTGGTTGATTCTGGGGCGAGCGTCTCCATTTTGAGAAAAGATTTCTTTGATAGTCTTGTACTTGAGAATAGACCTCAAGTTATGCCAGTCAGAATGAATTTATTAACAGCAACTGGAGAAGCTTCACAGTTTATTGGGAAAGTTAACTTAGAAATAAAATTAGGGACACATATTTTCAAACACGAATTTTTGTTGGCTGAAATCAAAGATATGGCCATACTGGGTATGGACTTTTTGATGACTAATAGTATTGATGTTCTTTTTAGCAAAGGTTGCCTGAGAATTAAGGATGAGTTTATTACCTGTTTTACAAATAAAGGTGATAGCTCATGTTGTCGAATTTCAATTGCGGAAACTGTTGATATTCCGCCTGATAGTGAAATGTTAATAAAAGGGATGCCATGTGGCCCTGTTATATTTAATGAAGTAGGTCTTGTAGAGACGAACAAGTCTTTTATTGAGAAAACTGGTTTGTTATTAGCCAGAGTAGTGGTCCAGCCAAATTCAAATATCATACCTTTAAGGGTAGCTAATTTTAGCACAGAGCCTGTCAAAGTCTATAAAAACACAATAGTTGGTACTTTTGAACCTGTTGACATAGAAACGTTTGAAGTGAGCACTGTGAGTCGGGTCAATTGTGCAGAGATTAAGACTGAAGTAGGCATCCCTGATCATTTAAAGTGTGTATTTGAGAAAAGTTCCAAAGATTTGGATAATATTGAAGTCAAGAAGTTAAAAGAGTTTTTATGTTCTTATCAAGATGTTTTTTCAAAATCCCCATCTGATATTGGGCATACTGAAATTGTTAACCATAAAATAAATACGGGGAATGCAAAACCCATTAAACTTAAACCATATAGACTTCCTTTGGCAAAAAGAGAGGTTGCAGAGAAAGAGATACAAGACATGGCATCAAGGGGCATCATAGAACCTTCAAGTAGTGCTTGGTGTTCACCGGTTGTCATGGTCACGAAAAAGAAAGACCAAAGTATTCGATTCTGTATTGATTTTAGAAAAATTAATGATATAACTGAAAAAGATTGTCAACCGATCCCTCGTATAGAGGACACGCTGGACGCTTTAAGCGGCAGTAAGTGGTTCTCCACACTGGACATGCGCAGTGGTTACTGGCAATGTGGTTTAGATGAGAAGGATCGAGAGAAAACCGCTTTTGCAATACCTGGTAGTGGCTTGTGGCAATTTAAAGTGCTTTGTTTTGGACTATGTGGTGCTCCAGCAACTTTCGAGCGGTTGGTCGAGAAAATATTTTCTGGTTTAACTTGGAGAATATGCTTAGTGTATCTTGATGATATCATTGTGTTCTCCAAAACTTTTGATGAACACCTCAAAAATTTAAGTGAAGTTTGTGACAGGCTAAGATCAGCAAATTTAAAATTACATCCTAAGAAGTGCTTCCTTCTTCAAAAGGAAGTAACCTTTTTAGGACATAAAGTTAGTCACGAAGGCATAAGTACTGACGATGAAAAAATTAAGGCCGTGCAAGATTGGCCCACTCCCAAGAATGTAAAAGATGTACGTAGCTTTATCGGACTTTGTTCATATTATCGTCGATTTGTAGAAAATTTCTCTACTATTGCAAAGCCTTTACATCAATTAACCGAGAAGTGTAAGAAATTTGAATGGACAGAAGCTTGTAATTGCTCATTTGAGCATCTGAAAAAGTTGTTAATATCTGCACCTATCTTAGGTTATCCAATTAATGATGGCGGCTTTATTCTTGATACAGATGCTAGCAATGTGGGAATGGGGGCCGTTCTATCTCAAATTCAAGATGGGGAAGAACGAGTGATTGGCTATTTTAGTAAAACGTTTTCGAAAAGTGAAAGAAATTATTGTGTCACCCGAAAAGAACTGCTGGCTATTGTCAGTGCAGTTAAAAATTTCCATCACTATCTTTATGGTCGATCTTTTACAGTTCGTACCGATCACGGGTCTCTTAGGTGGTTAGTAAATTTCAAAAATCCAGAGGGTCAGCTTGCCCGCTGGTTGGAAACACTTGGTGCATATGACTTCCAAATAATACATCGCCCTGGTCGCATTCATTCGAATGCTGATGCATTGAGTCGTAGACCCTGTCCGGATGATTGTTCTTATTGCTCTAAAGTTGAGGATAAATTTTCAAACGTAGGTTTAGGAGAGGTTGAAATAAATAACGAGATTTTAACTAAAGAAGTGGTAAAGTCAGTAGTAGTTGATGATACGAATACTTTAACAGGCGCCGTTAAGGTTGAAGGTAGTCAACGTCTAGAGACTAGAAAGAAAAACGAAGCAACACAAGTATATGCTAGTTATAGGTCAGACGATTTAAACGCTTCTAAATCTTGTACAAAACTTGACAAGGAAAGTATGAACATATCTGATAAAGTGAAGGATGAAAGTGGATTTGCTTTAAAGGCATCAACTGATGTTGGCAAATCAAGTAGTTCCGAAACTTTTAATGTTCCCAATTTGAAAAGGTCTGAGGAAAGGAAAGGGAAAAATAGATTTGCAAGAGAAACATCAGTTGATGTTTGCAAATTTAAGACCGATGAAAACATTATAAACCAACGCATAGGAGTAGTTAAAACTCGAAGCATGAAATCTCCTCAGTTGGATCAACAAAAACCGAGCTCGTCATCTCCGATGCACGATGAACAATTTGTTGAGATAGATTTCGATTTAGAAAGTGAACAAGAAAATGACCCCGTACTAAAGATAATTAGGGATTGGCTACTAAACAATTTGAAACCCATTTGGCCGGAAATATCTAAATTCAGTCCAATTATCAAATACTTCTGGAATAGAATTGAATCATTTGAGATAAGAGACGGTATTTTATGTCGAAAATGGGAAAGTGAAAGAGGGGATAATGTCACGTGGCAAAAAGTAATTCCAGATAATTTGAAAGAATGTGTGCTCAAGCAGTTACACAATAGTGTCACTGGTGGCCATTTAGGTATCAAGAAAACCTTAAGCAAAGTTAGACAAAGATTCTTTTGGTTTGGGGTACGAAAGTATATTGAAAATTGGTGTAGCAAATGTGATGTATGTGCTTCACGAAAGCGACCAAATAGAAAACCAAAAGCACCTATGAGACAATACAATTCCGGTGCCCCCTTAGAAAGAGTTGCTATGGACATAATGGGGCCTTTGCCTAGGTCAATTCAGGGAAATAATTATTTACTAGTAATTGGTGATTATTTCACTAAGTTTGTTCATACTATTCCCCTGAAATCCCAAGAGGCAGAGGTTGTAGCCCGAACATTAGTAGATAATTTTATATCAATCTTTGGAGTTCCCTTACAAATACATACGGACCAAGGGGCTAATTTTGAGTCCCATTTATTTCAAGAACTTTGCAAATTGATAGATATTGACAAGACTAGAACAACGGTTATGAGACCCCAGTCTGATGGAATGGCTGAGCGGTTTATGAGAACACTGGAAAATATGTTGTCTTCGTTTGTATCGAACCATCAAAAGGATTGGGACAAATTTGTGCCCATTCTAATGATGGCATATCGATCCGCTGAACACGAAAGTACGGGTGTGTCACCTTGTAGAATGATGTATGGACGTGAAATCAATCTACCGGTAGATTTATTGTTTGGTAAATCTCCGGACGGTCCTAAAAGTTCTATTTCGGACTTTGTTAATGATCTTGAACATACATTGTTGACTGTTCATGAATTTGCAAGAACCAATTTAAATTTTGCTAGTGATGTTATGAAGAAAAACTATGACCATAACATTCACTTAAAGCTGTTCAATCCTGGTGATCCAGTCTGGTATTACCAATACCAACGGAAGGTTGGTGTAAATCCTAAATTTCAGAGACCTTGGCATGGTCCATTTGTTGTTACCCATCGACTGAATGACGTCTTATATAGAATTCAGCTGGGTCCAAGAATGAAACCGAAAGTGGTTCACCATGATAAACTTAAACCTTATTTGGGAGATCATGGTCCAACCTGGTTTTCATAGTTGATAACTTATCAAATTTAGTTGAACTTTGATCGAATGATTTTTTTTATATTTAAGACATATGATGAAAATATTGAATACTAAAACTGTCCTACCATGTATAGGTATGACATGTATTACTAATTAACTAAGTTTTACGACTCTTTGTATATGTGTTGAGTTGTAAAAATATTAATAATTATAATGATAGGTCCATAATTATTTATCCCTTTCTTATGATTGTTATTCTATTCTTTTATAGAGTAAATGGATGTGTGTTATATGTGAAGACATGACATTTGAAAAGAGGTGGTTTCTGGAGCGACACATATTAGAAAGGCACTCAGACTTTGCCTGGAAGTGTCCAGAATGTAAAAAACTGTTCCAAAGACGTAATACCAACCATGGGTGCAAGGTACATGAAAATCAAATGATCTGTTTTCAAAACAGCACCGGACGTAGGGGAAAAGATGCCGAAGAAGACCTGGAGAAATTTAAAAGAGATGAAATGCCGAAGAAAATAAGGTTGGTTGATAATAATGGGAATGAGGTTGAAGTTGTATCTAGACGTAACAGATATGCTAGATCCGAGATAGGTGACACCAGCAATAAAAGTACATGTAATAGTAAGAGAGGAAGCTCGTTGAAAGAAACATCCAGAAAAAGGACAGATATAGAGAACAAAGAAAATAACAACATCTCAGGGCCAACTCCTGCAAAAGTTAGTAAGCCCTCAGAGACAAAAGAACAAAAGCTGAAGAAAATCAAAGATGTTATTCAAGATCTAATGAGTGAGAGTGGTGAGACAATAACAATTTGTTTAGAACCGGAAGCAGATAAAACAGAAGGAAAGAGTCAAATCTTAGAGGAAGTCGAACTGCATGTATCAGAAAAAGAAGTGAGCACATTAGAAAGAGCAGATAAATCTCACATGAGTTCATCCTCATCAACAACCTCATCCGGATCGTCGTCTAGCTCGTCAAGCTCATCAGGGACAGTCAAGAAATCAACTCCAGCTAGTATGTCACAAAAGGCAGAGAACGTCGTGGTAAAACCTCTTGATACTGAAATTGAACCAATAAGAAATGTTGAGTTTTCAGCTAAGACAGAATTGGTGGAAACCTTCCTACAATCCCTACAGGACACACAGGAAAACACACTTACTCTCAACGTTGGAGGGATGAAGGTAGAGACAAGTAAAAACACCCTAAGAGCCGACCCTTCTTGTGTGTTCGCCTTGATGTTGCAGCCTTTAAGTCCATTCCGTCCTTCTAATAACGTCTACTTCTTCGATCGAGACCCTGCTCACTTCAAGATAATCCTTAACTATTTGAGGAACAATTGTACCGTGGAAAAAAGATATCTCCCTAGGGAGCATGTCTATTTGTACGAGCTGCTCCAGGAGGCAAAGTTCTATAAACTGTCTGGACTTGTTACAACAGTACAAGAGAGACTAAATGATTTGTGTGCATGTAGACTGAGTAACTTCTAAACTTTGTTGTTGATTTTGGATAGATTTTGACGTTTGTTGTTGATATAATTAGTAAAATTTATCTTGTGAATGAAAAATATCTTTGTTGTTAAACCCACATAGTACTGACATACTGTGAGCTCGATGAAGAATGACCAAGAATAGTAGAGTTTTTTTTTTTTTTTTAATCAGTATTTCCTAAACAGTATAAATCAGCTCACCAAGCTAATATATTTGGGGACCAAATCCTTAAGGAAGGGGGCAATGTTATGCCGGCTCCCCGTATTTATTCAGTGTTGTTTTGATATGCATTTTTTTCGTCGTTGTTATGATCCATAACCAGAAGTTGGTTGTCAAAAGTGTTTGATAAGTCAGGAGATGCTTATGCTTGTACTTATAAAACTATTATCTCGGATGACTTTTAAACCTGTGGAGTATTGTTTTTGAGACATGTAACGTTTATTTTCGAACTGTTGGAAAGTGAAAGTAGGCCATAGATTTTTATTTACGGTTGTAAATAATAATAATATTGTGATTCATGTTGTTCTATTTTTTACATCTTATTATTTTTCCTGTTTGGGTTTCGTTTGATTATGATTGCTAATTGCACGGAGCATTTGGAGACTTTAAATAACTCTCGTTCCGATTTTTAAGGTTTGTCACCGATATAGGTGATACTTACTTGTTTGATGTGTTTTAGTTTAAATGTTCGTTATCTGTTCACTATCGATTGCAAGATACAGTAGTTTGTATCTGTTTTTACCCATCACAAACGTTTTCAAAGCTTTTAGTTGCATTTTAAACACATAAATTATATTTATTCGTGAAGAACATTGCATTGTTTACAATTGCATCACCGTTAAGGGAATTTCCCTAATAAGAGTGATGGCTTGTGATTGGATGTCATTATATAAGCGCAACTCTCATTGGTCAATTTGGAATATAAATACGTGTGGTTGGCTGCATCAAGGGAGATAGCTCGCATTAGTTGAGATAGTAAAATCAAAGAGATAGAGCACTGGAAGTAGAAACTAAATAGAATTATGTCTGATGTTATGAGTATAAAAGTTAGTATTGTGAAATAATAATATTATTTTAATAAGTAAAAGGTGACGGTGACTAATATAAGTCCCGGTGATTAAATCTCGGTGACGGTGACTAATCTCGGTGACGGTGACGGTGACTAAAAACTGTCGGTGACGGTGACTATAACTGTCGGTGACGGTGACTAAATAATTTTGTCACCAGATTTGGAGTTGATGAATTCACGTGTGTAAGTTACTGTTGATATAGCTATAGTTATTGAGGTAGTGACATAAATAGTTTATGGAGAAGCATATGTATGTTTTATGAACAGTTTGGCAAAGGTCAGGCTTTTTATCTTGTTTGGTTAAAATTAGTTATGGATATGATAGTTACCTTTGTATAAAGGACTAGTTGTAAAGAAATGCTATGTTATGATTATAATTCACATTCGTGTTAATTGTTGTTAGACCAACCATACCAGGGGCCACTGACCAGTGACAGAACCGAGAGTCCAGCCTTCCCCCAGTATTTTATTTCGTTAATAAAATGTTGAACTTTATAAATTATTATCTTTTACTTTAATAAACCTCACGAAAACCGAATTATACTAGCACACTGATATAAATATATATATTTATATATTTTTCCTTCGTCCTATTTCGGGTTTAGATCGGTGGTTTTAATTAAGACACCTTTCTCGACCTCTAATAGATCCCTTTTTACGTGATCCTGTGATCTCTGGTGGCCGACTCTAACGTCAGAGAGGCAGCGTTACAATATATTGCTATCATATATGCAGATCAGCAGTACATGCATGTGCTATAGATGCACATTAATAAGGGGCCAATAAATTCAAGTTGCCTGTTAAAAAAGACTTTATTAATGTTATGCAAGATACCATCAAAGATCACTATGTGTTAATCAAATAATATTGTAAATAAGAGGGTTGTCCAAAATATTTCCAACAGTTGTTTGATAAACACTACCTTATTCAAATTACACTGATAAAAAGCAGTTTTGGTCAGTCTTAAGAAGCAAATATAATTTAGAAAAGTGCAAGCTGTTGATAAAAACTACAAATATCAGCCTGAGGGAACTGCCAGTCATAAAAGAGGGGCGAAAGATACCAGATGGACAAACTCATAGATCGAAAATAAACTTGACAACGCCATGGCTATCAAAGAAAAAGACAAACAGACAAATAATAGTACACAAGACACAACATAGAAAACTAAAGACCAAGTAACACGAAAATGTGGGTTGATATTACCATTTTGCACAAATGAGTTTCGGGACAAAGGAAACTATTTTCGGCACAAACCGATTATACCCTTTCAAAAACTATGTGTAGTCCCTTTTATAAAAGTGGCAGATGTTTTTTTTTGCCTATTTATTCATGAGTATCTATGACAACTAACTGCTGCTCCTAGTAAAGTTAGTCTTTAGTTTTTGAAAGATTGGATCCATTGTTACAATTCTTTTCTAAGGCACCGGCCTCATAAACAGGAAGTAGCCAAATTTGTAGCAGTACTAATACAATACTGTAAAAATAAGGAGATGTGATATGATTGCCAATGATACACCTATCCACTCAAGATCAAATGAAGTGGATGTAAGCAGTTATATGCAACCATACAGCCTTCAACAATGAGCAAAAACATACCATATAGAACCTTGTAAAGGCTAGTATGATTTACATTTGCAATAATCACTGAACAATCAGAAACAAGTTTGGGCCTAAATCAGTATGTCCTAACTCCCAATCAAATTGATCGAAGAGAGAGGCGAAAGATAACAAAGGCTCATTCAAACTCATAAGTCAATAATAAACTAACAAAACCACGGCAAAAAAGAGAAAAATTAAAAGTCAATCAACAGTATGCAAAACACAACAAAGAACACTAAAGACTGAGCAAAACGAACTTCACCAAAAACTGGTGTGACCAATTGACTAATTAATCTGAGCCGTACATTATTTGGCAGACCCTTTATTATACCAAACCAAACAAATTTCCTAAGGGTACAATGTTTTTGACCCATCAGTCTGTCTGTCCTGTTCTCGTTATCTCAACTCCTCTGAAACCATATAACAGAATTTTATAAATCTTTGTAGATAATATCGACAGGAAATTATGAAATTATCGATTCATTGATTTTCTATTAGTTATGAGAATTTTGGCCTTAATATACTCCTACAACAGTTTGTCATCACAACTTTCTGAAAGTACACAACAGAGTTTTATGAAATTTTTTAGATAGTTAGGACATGCTATGTCGATGTGCATATCGACAGAAAATTATGATTATATTTGTATGCCCTACCCACGATAGTAGATGGGCATTACGTTTTCCGGTCTATGCGTCTTCCGCTCGTTCGTCCGTCTGTCCCGCTTCAGGTTAAATTACTTGGTCAAGCACGGTTATTTTAGATGAAGTTGAAGCCCAATCAACTTGAAACTTAGTACATATGTTTCCTATGATATGTTCTTTCTAATTTTAATGCCAAATTAGAGTTTTTACCCCAATGTCACGGTCAACTGAACATAAAAAATGATAGTGCGAGTGGGGAAACGTGTACTGTGGGCACATTCTTGTTTTTGTCGAGCCTGCGACTTTCGTCGCAGAAAGCTCGACATAATGATAGTGATCCGGCTGCGGCGGCGGCGGCGTTAGTTCACTTCTTAAAAGCTTTATATCTTAGAAGGTGGAAGACCTGAATGCTACATACTTTGTATATAGATGCCTTAGGTTAGGAAGTTTCCGTCTGTCAAATGTCCATTGTCCTTGACCTCATTTTCATGGTTCAGTGACTACTTGAAAAAAAGTTAAGATTTTTTGTAATGTTAATTTCTCTCTTTTTATGATTAATTGGGTAACTATATTTAGTATGTGCGTACCTTGCAAGGTCCTCATGCCCATCAAACAGTTTTCACTTGACCTCGATATCATTTCATGGATCAGTGAAGAAGGTTAAGTTTTGGTTGTCAAGTTTATATTTCAGATACTATAAGCAGTAGGTCTAGTATTTTTGGTGTATGGAAGGATTGTCAGGTGTACATGTCCAACTGGCAGGTTTCATCTGAGCTTGACCTCATTTTCATGGTTCAGTGGTTATAGTTAAGTTTTTGTGTTTTGGTCTGTTTTTGTTATACTGTATGCAATATGTCTACATATTTGGCGTATGGAATGATTGTAAGGTGTACATTTCCAATTGACAGGTATCATCTGACCTTGACCCCATTTCCTTGGTTCATTGATCAAAGTTAAGTTTTTGAGTTTTGTTCTTTTTTTGTAATATTATATGCAATAGGTCAACTATATTTGGTGTATGGAAATATCTTATGATGTACATGTCAGTCTCGCAAGTTTTAATTTGACCTTGACCTCATTTTCACGGTTCATTGCTCAGTGTTAAGTTTTTGTGTTTTGGTCTGTTTTGATTACTTAAACTATAAGCAATAGGTCAACTATATTTGTTGTATGGAAGAATTGTAAGCTGTACATGTCTGCCTGGCATGGTTCATCTGACCATGACCTCATTTTGGTGGTTCATTTGTCAATGTTTAGTTTTCTTGGTTTAGTCTGTTTCTTAGAAAATACAAGCAATAGGTCAACTATATTAAGGGTATTGAATGATTGTAAGGTGTATATGTATTTCTCGTTTTGGTCATATGACCTTGACCTCATTTTCTTGGACATGATCCAATAAATGAGGTCAAGGTCATATGATCCGCCATTGTCATGTTAAGTTTATAGTTGTAGTAAAGCTTTATATTTAGAACTATCAACATAATATCAATAGTTAGTAAAGAAGGCGAGACTTTTCAGCGTGCATGTGCACTCTTGTTTGGAATTAGGAATTATGCCTTTGAACTTTGTGCATATCCACAAGAAAATTGTATCAGTTGGCTTTTGAAGGAGTTATGCGTCTTTGAACTTAATAATATGTTGAGATTTTGCTTGCTAAGTGACAATGTCGGGCTGTGGGGTATGTGAGCCTGCTCACAAAGGTTCTTTAATTAGACAAAATCAATGCATGAAAAATTATTACACCAGGGTTTTCGATATCATAAACTAGTCAAAACATTTATTAAATTTTATCATCGGTATAAGGACATCATTCGTAAATATAACTCAACATGCAGACATCTTATTTACGTTCTGGTATTTCACATCCAATCTTTTATGGTAATATTCTTTACAAAGCACAAAAATGTCAGTATTCACCTCAAAAGCTAACAAAACCTTTAAACAGACTTATTAAGAAGGGATATAATTACGATACTGTTGTCAGGTCATTAAAGATTGCATATTTTGGCTTTAATATTGATTCACTTATAGGGTCTTTGCATCGGAATTAAACAAATTTATTCTAAAACCAGTTGTTGGGATGACACGGGTTATGTTCTTCTCATATATTTTATGATGGTATAATACTAAACCCCTAACAGGAGGGACTGTGCCTGATA